TGTCCTGCTCTTGGGTTCTGCAGGCTGAGGATCAGCAGCCCTGCCGGGGCCCAGGGAGCCACCCTCCCAGGGCAGTCATTCTAGGCGAGGCTGGGCAGGCGCCGCTTGCTGCCCTCCTGGGTGTGGCTTCTCATCCTCATGCTCCAGGGCCTGGCCGGCTCCCTCCTCGCCACAGCCCATCAGGGGCAGCCCTGGAAGGAGAGGATGGAGAACGAAGGTGAGGGCGGCAAGCAGAATCCAGCCCTCCCTGGTTCCACTCAAGGAGCCAAAGGAGCAGCAGAGGCTGCAGGCCTCTTGGGTTCTGCCCTACACTCCTTAAGGCTCTCGTGCCTTTTTCTACAGCCTGCGCAAGTGACTATGAATCTTTAGGGACGGGCCCTGAGATTAACTCAAGGAAGGCGTGCGTATGTGTGCGTGCGTGCGCGTGTGTGTGTGCATGTGGGGGGTGGGTGTGTATGGGTGTGCGTGTAAGCGGCATGGATGAGCTAGAATCGTGGTCATCTTCGGAGACCTTCTGAGCCAGAGAGATGAGGAATAGATTCTCTCACCTTCCCAGGCTCTTTGTTCCCCCTCCCTGGCTCACTGGGTAGATGGAAGATACAGTGGTAGTTTCTAGGCATCCCTCTGGTGGGAAGGGAGATGGTGCCAACAAATGCAGCTTCTAAAATGTGGGATGAGGGCGGGGATAGAGCTCAGTGGTGCCACGCCTGCCTGGCAAGTGCAAGGTCCTGAGTTTGATTCCTGGTACCAAACAAACAAAAAAAAATTTCAAATGTGGGACAGTGCAGTGGTGAACGCCTATAGTCTCAGCTACTCGGGAGGTTGAGGTAGGAGGACACTGAGTTTAAGGCCAGCCTTGGTTACAGAGCTGGGAAAGACCAAACCAAACAAAATGTAAAAGGGGCTACCCAGGACTCGAGTTGAAAGACAGCAGACCAGGCCCCGCATCAGCACAGGCTGGGGAAGTGGGGCGCTGACCCCCGGATCTGCCTAGGCCTTCCTAGGTGGGGGGCTTTCCCTTTCCCAGCCACTTGCCAGGGCTGCCAGGAAGGGAAGCGGGGTCTTCCGATCCTGGTTCTGAGCCCCTCAGCCCCACAGGAGACCCTCTGTGGCCGACCCGGTCACTGCTGGCTTTTGGTTCCACTGCTCTTGCTCACAGCGCTCAGACTTCAAGTTCTGTCCCCTGTCAATCTGCCCTCGCTCGTCTCCTCCTCATTGTCCCCTAGACATCTCCCTTATTCTTCAAGACCCAAGTTCGGCAACCCCCAGACCCTGGAGGCCAGGGGGCTGGTTTGAGGCCAATGGTGCCCATGCTCCCTGTGGTCACAGCTCTGACCTCTTTGAGGTGAAAGCGGCGCAGGATAGAGCACTGACAGTGAACCTTTTAGAGCCTGAGTGCCCAAACTGCAAACCAAAACCCACCCATGTATTGGCCAGTGCCAACACTGCCCCTGTGTGCACTGTTATCGGATGCTCAGTGGCTGGGGCGATGCTGGGGTGACTTGGCTCCCGTGCCAGGAGGGCTCTGCCTGCCTGCTGTGGCACATGTGCCCCAGGCTTGCCACCACTGAGCTACGGCTTGCCTTGCTTATTGCTGAACCTGTGGCACAGGTTGGGCGCACCCCAAGGGTTTATTGTAGGACTCATGCTCGTCCAGGAGGAGGCCCTGCCACCCCCCATCTGGAATCTCAGCAACCCAGCTTCTCTCTTAGTCCTCAGGGCCAGGCCACCCAGAAGCAGGGCCTGCCTTGGCCTAGAACCAAAGATGGAAATGAAAAAGGCCAAACTTTGGGCTCCTGCCTCAGACCAGGCCTGGCTCTTGGATGGAGGTCAGATTCCAGGCAGATTTTCAGCTGCAGTTATCAAACAGTGCACACGCACTTACCGAGGACCTACTTTTGGCCAGGACTCCCTTCAGAGACTCTGAGCATCTCGTTCCCTTTATTCCTCATCACTGGCTACAGCACAGCACTCACTCCCTGGGTCCTGAAGCGGCCAAGGACTTGGCCAAGTCATATAGATGTCTGCAGCAGTGGACAAAAAGCAACCGGCTGTGCCTTCTCCTCCTTCCTTCTCCGTCCCAGGCCTGGCCCAGCCTGCCCTGGGCCCCTGGAGACCTGGGGTGCCCATTCCTGCTCCTTGGAGCGAGGACTCCTTACCAAGGAGCTGAGAACGCTTACAGCCGTGTCTCAGAGGCCCCTCTGCTGGCTGGAGGGGCTCCACGGCACCTTGTGGTGCTTCCAGGATGAGGGAGAGCAGAGCAGCAGGAGAGCAGCGGGCCTGTGTCTGCTTCCTGCTTTCCTTGGCAGCTATTTCGGAAGGTGGGAAAAGTAGCCGTGGCTTGAAAGGCGCATAGGTTTGCGTAGGGGTGTGTACGCAGACACGCACACCTCAGGGTAAACAAACACGCATGCACACATGCACGCACGAACGCCTGCCTGCACATGTGTGCAAGGGAAAGCCTGGGGAACGAAGCCTTCCAAGCCAGTGACTGGGGGTGCGGAGGGGGAGGGAATTGGGTGGTGTACATGGGGGTAGACAAGAAGTAGGGACCCCGAGAGGTTCCTGTCACAGAACTGGATCCAAGGCCTGTGGTCCTGCCACGCTCACACACCAGAGGCCACTGACTCTCATCTAGACTTGGCATGAGACAGCAGGCCCAGCCCCAAACGGATCAGGACTCAGAGCTCGCTCTACCACTTGCTAGCCTGCCTGGGAAGACTTTTATGCCTCTCTGAGCTTCTGTTTCCTTATGTATAAAGTAAGACTCATTAGAATTAAATGGGCTGAATGCGTTGCACATAGAGCTCAAAAATTCTTAGTTTCCTTCCAGTTCTGGCATCTCCCATGGTTGGGGACAGTAGATATTGGGTCCTAGGGCTCACTAAGCTCCACTGAACCCACCGACTGGTAAGTGGCACTGTCGCCCAGGTAGCTGGGGGCTGGGAGCAGAGATAGACAGCAGGTCCCCGCCTCCACAGAGTGCCACGTCTGCTGGGCAGGCAGGGCCCAAACGGCAAAATGACAAGGACAGCCCAGGACAGCTCACAGGTGGAGAGGAGGAGGAGAGCTCTGCCTGAGCACACAACCCTGACCTTCACACCCTCCCTGAGCCCACACCGCCCTCTCCCCTCCTCCACTTTTATTCTAAGTGCCAAGTCGGTGCAGAGTTCCCAAGAAACCACTTGAACTCAAAAACTCCAGCCCTGGTGCCCTTCTCCTGGTCCTTAGTGGCGGGGCAGGAGCCCAGGGCTGGTCTCTGGGGTCCAGAGAGACACAGTGCGGCTGAGAGCTCATCTTTACCTAGGACCCTGACCCAAAGGTGTGGCGCAGGCCTGGATGAGTCCTCCCTTGCTGGAGCACAGAGCCCTCCCCGTGCTGGGGCACACAACTGCCCTCCCACATCCGCCACTGTCTTGCGCACACCCACTCAGGCAGGCCCATTAGCAATTTCTACTGGGAAGCTGCAGAGGAAGCGAACTGTGTTCTCACTCTAATCTCCTGGGTAATCAGGAGTTCAGACTACTGTGTGCCCCTTCCCCCAGCTGGACCGAGAGCTCCTTGCTGCAGGGACCCCCAGAGCACCAAGTGTGGGACCTAGCAAGGACTGGGACTTGGGGATGGGCTACATAATAAAACACGGAGAACGCACATATACTACAGTCAGATGCGCAAGCCAAGAAGGGGCTGTTTAGTCTTATTTTGCTCGGGAGGCGACCGACACTCAGAAGGTTAAGTGACAGGTCGGAGGTTGCACAGCTTCTGTGCAGAGGGGTCGGGATTGGAGCCCAGGGTCTCCAGCTCCATAAGACGCCCCTCCAGCCCAGTCTCTGCAGGAAGAGAGCATCTGGAGGACCTGCCTTGGGTGCAAATCTCCCTGGGTCCTTAGCAGGTCTACCCCGACTGCCACCTGCGGGGCTTGGCTCCTGGCTCGGATGCCCTCGGGAGACAGTGGGGGCAGGGCACTTCCTGTGTGAGTGCAGGTGGGGCTGGAGCCACAGGGACAACAGCCAGCAGCTGCTCCCAGACCTCGGGCCATGCTCCACTGCCGTGATCGGCTGGCGAGGAGACCGCATGGTGGATCCGCAGGCCGGGACACAGGGCTGGAAGGTTATTCTCTTGAAAGAGCAGCTCTGCAAACCCTGATGGACTCCCTCCTCTAGGCAGCATCTCTGGGTCTAGCAGGAAGGGTAGAATTACCTCCTCCTGCACTTCCTGTTAAGCCCTTGGCAACATGTAAGGAAGAGTCTGGGAGCTGGAGCCTTGTTTCTGGTGCCGTCTCTGGCACAGCCCTGGGGCTCCTGCCTGCCTGAGACGGAAGCATGGCAGCCATTGTGCAGGCAGAGTCTCCCTGCCTCCTCCTCCTCGCTTTTCCCGCTCCTTCCCTCCTGGCATCCTGCCCAGCCCCAAGGAGCAGAGGGTCCAGAGGGAGGATGCGGAGGGTGATGGATTGCTTGGCCTTGGTGGCTGCAGTGCCAGGTCCCCCTCCCGGAGCTGCGGAGACAGACGGGCCGCAGAATTGAGGGCAGCGTGGATAAACTCAGGCCTGCTCGGCAGCAGGTGAGCACTGGGCGGGAAGGATGCATGAGGAGAAGCAGAAGCCACCCTCGGTACCCTCGGCCTGCAGCCCCTCCTGGGAGGTGAGCAGGCCCCTCGCTCCCACCTCAAGTTTAATCTCACACAAGCAGAAGCCTGGAGTTGGTGGAGACCTCAGTGTTTCTCCCAGAGCCTGAATTCCATAAATAACTTATGCGAAGGAGGGATGGTGGAGCAGAAGGAGCCTGGGCTTGGCGATCCGGGTCTGAGCCTTGCTCTGCCACTGCTTGTGTGACCTGGGCCAATGCACTCACCCTTAGGAGCCTCAAACGCCGGGGCCAGGAAATGGGGGGGGATCGCTGTGAGAGCCGCAGGACGTTAGGGGTACGAAGCGTCTGCATTTCCCCCATCCTTGTGGCCTCGGCTGCCACGGCCTTCTCCCCTCACCTTTTGCAATATTTTAGGAAACGTGGAGGTGTGAGACACACATGGGAGTGTGCACAGAGGACACCAATCCCACACGTGGACACCCGCGCAACCACCACTCGAATCTTTGAAACGGATCCCCGCTCTCCAGAAGGTTCCAACTGCCTCTTCCCAGTCCATACGTGGCTCCTGTCCACGCTGGCCTCCCATCATCGTCAGTTTTATCTTCAAAACCCAGAATTCCCCTTCCTTTTCCATCACAGCTTGAGATCGGGTCTTTGGGATTAAGTGACTCTGGCATTAAAAATCTTAAAACTCACTGAATTCATCCTCCTGCTTCAGAGTGGCCCTAACTTCTCGGTCTCACGAGGGACCAGCAGTCTCCAGGGAGAGAATGGGCGTTCTTCCTCCTTCTAGGGTTCCTAGGCCTGGAAACCGCTCTAGGCCTTAGGACCCCAGCTCCGGCTGGTCCCCCTTGGCCGGGGTGAACAGTGTCACCACAAGCTGGGGAGATGGCCTGGCGACTTCCTGGCCCCCGTGCACCTAAGCTTCTGAGGCACTGGGCAAGGGGACAGAGGGGAGGTGGCTGGGGAGGCAGGGCCCAGTCCCGCGCTCTCACCCGTCCCAGACCTCCCTGCCGTGGCAGTCCCGGAGCTCCTCGATCTGTCCTGAAGCCAGCATCTCCTCCCCAAGACCTGCTCTGCCTTCTGCGGCCCCTGTCGGTTTGGTACCTCCACTCAGCAGGGCCGAGACTGGAACTCACCGGCTTGGTCTGCCGCTCCCACCCCAAACACTCATGTACTTTCTCTTCTCATTCCTGGTCTCGGCCCTGACAATGGCTCTGTCAGGCTCTCCCACTCACCCTGGGGAGACCCTCTCCTCCCCGACACGTCACAGGCCGCTCAGCCAGGCTTGCTGCTCCCTTCACATCTCAGGCCCCCACCCCCGCCAGCAATGCCTTTCCCAATTTCAACCATCAAACTCCTCGTTAGCCACAAAACCCACTCCAGAGGCCACCTCCTCCACGATGCATTTCCCAGACTCCCGAGAGATGGGTCGTTACGTCCACAGCTGCCCAGGGACTGGCTGACCAGGCCACAGCGCCATGCTCATGGGCTGCGCATCTGCCCAGCCGAGCTGTGAGCTGTGCAGGAAAAGCAGGGCTTGGTACAATGTCTGGGTACCCAGAGCCTGCAGGGGGCGGGCCCAGCTGTGAAGGTCGAACACAGCCCACTGATTGGCTACAAGTACAATCTGCATTTGTAAGAAGACAGAATGGAAGATGTCAGAGTACACAGTAGGTACCCAGACTAAGTTTGTTTTTGTTTTTCTGATACTGAGGGTTGAGACCAGGGCCTTCACTATGAGCTACATTCCCAGCTTCCCAACACTCTTTTTTTTTTTTGGGATTCAGAGTCTCACTAAGTTGTCCAGGATGGGCTTAAATTCACCATCCTCCTGTCTCAGCCTCCCAGGGTGCTGGGATCACAGGCACAGGTGTAGCATCACACTGGGCTCTAAGAGCTGTATTGAGAAGTTTCTCTATTTTACACACACACACACACACACACACACACACACACACACACACAGACACACACAATTGTGTACAGGGACCTGATGCAAGATACATGGTATGCCTTGGGCTATAGCTAAAAAGGCTCTCAGATCACAGTACTGAGCGATTCTTGTGCCGAGGGCCTTTCAACTCACGCAGAGGCCCTCAGATGAGGACATAAGGCAAAGTCTAGCTAAAAGGCGAGGCATGGCTTGGGGCTCCCGTGTGCCGGGATTCCTATCGTTCATCACTTTATCCACCTCCTCTGTCCTCCCAACAGCTGTGGGAGGCAGAAACTGAAGCTCAGGACACCGAGGGGCCTGACGAGGGCCCACAGCCGGCACGTGGGGGACGGGGCATGGACCCCAATAGTCTTTCACGGGGTGAGGTATTTCTGTGCTTCTGTGCCACAGCTCGCCTGACTCCCGGGGGGCGCAATGGGGAGGTGGGGAGACAGCCTAGCCTCCCTCCTCTCTGGAATGCCAGGGGTCAGGGTTCCAGCGAAACCCTTTCCTGGATCTGGGCAGGAAGGGTCTGTTGCCAGGCAGGATTCTGCCTTGCCAGGGCTCCCAGCTGACCCCAGCAGAGGGTGGGAAGCACCAGGTCTGGAGGGGAGCCTGCCTCGTTACCCCTTTGTTAGGCTGGAGGGCACCAGCAGGTAGCATGCGGTCATTTCTGTTTGACTGCTCCATACCAAAACTGGTTTCGGCAAAGCTGAGCAGCCCACCAGGCGTGGGGAGTGGCTCCAGGCCAGGCCCACCTGCTCTTGCTGCCCGGGCTTCTGCCCGTCCTCAGGGAAACAGCCTCTGACCGCCGTCACCCCTCCCAGGCTCCCATGGTGCCCGGCCTCCCCCATTGCAGCCTGGTGTTTGCCAGCTGCCTTCCCCGCAGACTGTGAGCCCCTCAGGGCGGGAGCCCCTGCAGGCTGCCAGCTCCTCCAACAGGTGGGAACACTGGCGCTCACAGAACATCTGGAGGAGGCGTGGAGAGGAAGGGGAGGGGAAGAACGGCAAGGTCAGCAGGGCGGGCTGTCTGCGAGCTCAGACCCTGGGGGACCCAGTGCAGAGGAGGTGGGCTGTGTCCGGGCAGACCCTCCTGGCCAACTGTCGCCGTCCCGGGGCATGTCCTCCTGGGCACACACCCCGATCCCTCCCCTGCTTCTCCACCTTGCACGGCTGCCTTGGCCCCTATGGTCACTGGCTCCACCCTTCTGGGGCTGCCTCAGGCTCCCTTGCGGACCCCACCTGCCTCGCTGGGAGCTGAGGTTAGGGGTTAAAGCCCTGGAACGGCAAGTGGTGCTGAACACTCCCTCTCAGAGTCTCCGACTGTGGGTGGGGAGAGACCTGCCTTACCGGGAATCTGAAGATGTCTGGAAAGCGCCTGGGCTTGGTAGAGCTTCTTTCCCTTTTTATCCATCCACTTCCATTCACTGGAGACCCGTATCCTTTGCTGGGCAACACCTGTTTCCAGGTGAGCAGGCCACCTGCTGCCTGGGAGCCTCTACACTGCAGGCTGACAGTCCTGGGAGGGGCTGCCTCTTCCATGTCACCGAGCAGGGAATGGGGCCCCAGGACAGTCCTCTGAGCGGCTCTAGTGACACCAGACAGCCCTGCTGCAGAGGCTTCAGGTTGAGGTGACAGCCCCTGTGTCCCCACAAGGCTGGGGAGGGCGGCTCCCGGAAGAGCTCTGACCACCCAGCAATGTTGAATCCACACGAGTCCACTTTGGCCCGGTTTTGAGCCCCAGATAGGCAGCCAGGACTAGTTGCTGACCCCCCAGCTTCCCCAGTCTCCCTTCCTAAATCCGGCTGGGGCACCAGGCAGACCTCCAGGGTAATTGCTAAATTGCCCAGGCCTGGCTCCAATTTGTGATCCTCTTGACCCAGCCTCCCAGTCTTCTGGGATTACAGGCCAGCACCACGCCCAGCTCCCTGTAGAATTCTTGGAAAGCTTTCTCGGGCAGCCAGAGGCCTAGTTCTCCCCTTAGTCACCGTGGATCCCTGGGAGCTCATGCAAGGGTGGGGGGAGAGGGACGACTCCAGAGAGATGCAAGCGATGCTTTCCTGTCCCTATGCTTTGCCCACACAGGACCCTTGCCCAGAAGCCCTTCTTCTCACTTACATAACAGGGAACTGCTGTGCAGTGTCAGCTGATACCACCTCTGTGAAGTCTTCCCTGACCACTGGCCCTGCTCCCCAAATCCATCCCTTGCTCCCTCCTGTACCTTCCGACTTCCTGCCCAACATGATGCTCATTCTCTGTAGCTGCTGAGGCTGGCTGGGGCGCTGGCTTTGTGGCCCGGGCACTGATACGCAGGAAGGCACCCACAGGGATTCGGCGGCTTGAGAGGTCGTCTGGACCTGTCCTGGAAGGGCTGCACTTAGCAGGGCTGCACTGCAGGGGGAGGGACCATGGGCAGCGGCCTGTTAGCTCTGCAGAGAGCGTGCAGGGGAGCAGGCCAGTTAAACGCAGAGAAAGGCCAGACCCCTTCTAACGGAAAAGGAAAATGAAATCAGAATGAAAATTGATGAGGCAGAGAGAAAGGGAGACTCATTCCATCAGCAGGTTTGCTAGAGGAAGCTCAGAGATAAATCACGCTGCGGAAGGAGCCTTGGTCCTGCGAGGGGCTGCCACCTTCTCCCTCTGTCAGCTGATAAATGGCTGCAGCTGACCCGCTGGGGGGTGTTTTTTTCTTTTCCTTCCGTCACCCATGCAGTGAGAACGGCCTGTCAGCCCTCACCACCACTTCCGGGGCCACCTAGCCATCTTTTCACCCAGTCCCTCTACTGTGTCCCTCCCGGCATCAGCAGCTGGGGGAAACTTCTGTGAAGTGCGGACTCTGGGTGGGACCCCGGGGCTGGACGACGGCGATCACCTCCAGGGCCAGCTCTACCGGCCAAGGACAGTGACACCTAGCTGTGCTCATCTGAAAATATAAGTGTATAGGACCAGCTTCCCTGCAAGAATGCCAGGCCCCAGCCCCCACCTCCTCTGGCCACAGGGAAACCATCCGAGGAGCATTAACAGAGCCCTGACTGCAAGCTAGGTGCTTTATGTATGCAAGGGGCTAGGGATACAAATTATGGGGCAGGTAGGTGAGGATTTACAGGTTAAAAACAGAACACCCTATTAGAGCACAAAAGTTATCACAGTAAGGACATTGTGGCTCAACCGAGGGGAGAGGGCATGAATCTGCATCATGTGGGAAGCTGGGCACCCACCCAGGGGAAACCTGCTAAAAATCACTGAGCTGGGCACTAGAAATGGTGAGTTTGTGGCGTGCAAACCGTACTTCAGTGACATGAGTTAAGGGCTTCCTGGATCAGGTCAGGGAGTGCACAGACGGCGGGAGACTGTACACTTCCAGGAGTGCGTCCAGGGGCAAAGGGCCTGGGATTAAAAACTTGGAAGGAGGATTCCAAAGAGAGAGCAGCCTGAGAGTGAGCCACGTGGTGAAGAGGCCATAGCTGCTGGCCAGAGGTCTGGACACGACACTGTGGGCGGAGGGAGCCCAAGGGGCCATCAGTACAACAGCCACCAATAACAATGACCTTTGGCAGGACCGGATGTACCTGGCAATTGAGATCCTATGTTACGTGGTCTGAATGCATGCCCCGAAATTCATGCATTGGAAACTTAATTTCCAGTGTCACAGTGTGTGGAGATGGGGCCTTTGAAGAGGTGTTTAGGTCATGAAGGCCCCTCTCCTCCCCGCAAAGAAAGGACTTAAAGCAGACAATCTA